GCGTTCCCCACCTCCGGAATATCCCAGATCACCTGATCTGTTGCGAAAAGCAGAAGCCAAGGGTGTCCCAGTTACAGCCGAAAGCAGTCGGCACAGGTGCAGACAATTTTATCGTTATAACTATGTGAAGTGTGCTTCAAGTTTCAATGTGAATGAGTATGATGCAGGATAATTGAAATGCCTGGGACCGCTGGTAATTCATCTTTTATTATCTGTTTGAGCAGCTAGCAACTTTTATGTAAGTTGCTTTGACCAATGCTACAGCGTTTAGCGTTCCTGGAGTTTAGATGAAGGACACTTACTTGAATACGTGAGCAGCTGTATGTCATCGACATTCGCTGTCATGCTGTTAATGCATCTAGCAATTTCTCCATTCAACTCTTTGTTTTACACCTCGAGTCCAGGTGACACCGTACAGACGTACCATGAGGTCTCTCCACTTCACTGCGGGCTTCCCCAATAGATGAAGGATATCGCTGAAGAGAAGTGACGCGTAGTTCGATGTATTTATATTATTGCAGTTCACGATGGGAATCAAGCAGCCAGCAAAGCACCAGTCCAATGCCCTGGAAATCATCGTTATCCCGAGTAACCTCACATTCACCTTCTGTCGGGAGCGAAAGGTTAGTTGTTTATGCATCTTTGTTTTGCTTCAGCGCATTCGTTAAATTCTAAGAATCTGGCGATGAGGCAGTTTTAGAGGAAATTGCGGTATCAAAAACAGAAGAATGGAAAGTAGAGTGTTCAGGAATCATGGAAAAGAAGAGGTTAAAGTAAGTGTCCTATGTACGAAGACTTGTTAAAGCTTCTCCAAAAACCATTACATCGTTTGCAGCCGGACTAGCCTTATCAGTCCAGAAACTGTCAGATCCAGGAGGCTTAAGACCATGAAATCGTTCAAAAAAAAAGTGGAGTTTTAAGGTAGTAAATTGTTTTAACCTGTATATGGCTTGATAAATTTTGCATTATTTTTAGATCACGTAAAATCGATGAATATGATCCAATAGCACGTGAAAAGGAACGTGAAAGTGAGCAGGCATCAGCAGCCTTGATTGATAAAAAAGACGATCGTTTGGGTTACACGGTAGCACAATATGGTAATGGTGGCGGCGCAGTAGCACCCGGACAAACTGTCAGTAGCCGAACTTTCACAGGTTTCTAAATGTGTTTCATAATTCGGAAACTACGGATCCATGTCTATCAGGCATGTGGATGTGTGTGTGTATTTTTAGTGTATATGCTTATTTGTATTTATGTAATAAATGTATGTGTGCTTTTTTGTGTTTGTGTATGTATGTATGTGTGTGT